GGGATAAGGGGGAGGGGGGAGGGGGGAGGGATGTTGGGTTGGGTGTATGTATGTATGGATTGTGAATCATGGAATATTGACAATCGAGGGAGGGGGTTTCTGCGTTTGGTATAGGTATTAGGTACTACACTATGAATGAGATTGAGATTGAGTATTGTTTATTTTGGATACCTGAGATTATTTCAGCTAGATGATTTATGGAATTATAGGATTCATGGAATTCTGTTTGATGATTGATGATGAGTGGAATGATGATAAGTGGATGAGTGTATTGATAATACTTTGGTGGGTATCAATGTGGAAGGTAGAAAGGTTGATGGTTGATGGTTGAGGGATAGATGGATGGATGGCCTCTTTTTGTAAATTGTGTGATGGTATGATGTTATGACGAAAATTACTTTCATCGATTGAGTGTTTGAGATGAGATGAATGATAAGTTGGGAGTATGGGTGTCGCTTTATAATAGTGAATGATTATTAGCTAGCTCCGAGCGTAGCTGCTCCTTCGGGACTAGCGTGCTCCGCTAGCGTACTTTGGTATCTATAAGTACGTAGGCACTTAGATAGCTGCACTTGCTTCGGCATGCAACCTCGAGACTTGGTTATTACCCTTAGTAATATAGGTCTTTTGCATCACACTTTCTTGACGTTAAGTCAAACCAACAATGGGGGATGTTGGGATAGGAGGGTGTGTGGGTGTTTATTGAGAGGAAGAAGAGAGGGATGTGAGAGGTAGGAGTGAGTTAGGGTTGGAGTTAGATGGTTTGGATGGTGTAAATAAGGTAGGGTATAATAGACTCCGTGGAGAATATGAAGTATCTACATCCATAACTCGTCGCTAGACTAACTAGGGCTGTCTAGATATTAACTCCCTACAGTCCCTTATACATGCACATAAGAGATGTTAAAGCATTATAAATGCCACAATAGATTCTGGACTTGGCTTTGAGGTTGTTAAGAACCTTCTTTTTTTACTACTAACTTAAAGCGAAATGGCACTAGATAGATATTAGCATAACGATAAGTTGCTCGGAGACGAGACGGACTTTTAGGAGGAGTGCTAGGCTATTCTTAGAGATGTAGTGGATGTGGTGGTGGTTTAAGAACTACACGACCCGCTTTTTTTTTTCTTTTTTTTCTAGGTATAGAACCCTGAACTAAGGATTACTAATATATATACTGTCGGTACATTCAGGTCCTAAGGTAGAAAGGAGGGGAAGTCACGTGGTACTATCTAAGATAGTTTCTAGTACTATTATATATTCCTAGCTAGCTCACACACTCTTTTAGGGGCTATACGAATATAAAAAGCGTATATTAAGTGTCCGGGCCTAAGAAGTTGAACTAATATATATATATATTATTGGGTTGAAAGGGTATTGGGTACTGAAGGTCATGGAGAATTGATTGCATTGTAAAAGGTAGCTATCTAAGGTGTTTATATAAAGAGTGAAAGGTTTAGGCAGACATGAAGCATTTAGGCAGCAGAGCTATAAGTGGATCAAATAAGGAAGTGGAGCAAAAGAGAAAGTAGACCCAGCACAACATATATATTAAAATAGATAGTATATATAGGACTTAAGGGAGTATTCTTACTATATATATACACGGTCGCGGTAAGCGAGGATTACCCGGGGTAATTGCCCGCTACTAACTCTACTATATATACTCGAATTACAGCTAATTAGATACTAGGAATACGTACTAATTTGTGCTCGGGTAATAAGTAATCGTATATGTTTTACGTATCCTTTTTACATATCTCTATCTACGCTTACTACGCTATATTTAGGTAGGAAAAGCGACGATTTTCTACTATACTTTTGTACTACGAAGCTTCGTCTCATATAGATAATTAGGTCTTTATCTAATCTACTTAGGTTAGGGTTAGGGTTAGCGGTTAGTAGTTAAGGTTAGTAGAATATAGGTTGAAAATGCGCTTCGAATACACTTGAAATATGACCAATACACTTCGAATGCGCTTAATTCGAGGGGCGAATGCCTTTTTATTCGAGGGACAAATGCACTCTAATTCCAGTAGTAGAGGGTAGTTCTGGCTAGGGATAGAAAAGCGCGTACTTATCGTCACTTCGTAATATAACTACAAAAACGTAGCTATAAGAGAAATATCGATCGGTAGCCTTCTCCCTTACACTCGAGCAATCATTCCTATTAAGAAATTTTGCATTTATAGTATATAGTTGTTTAATAATTAACTATAGAAGCGAAAATTGTGCTACTATTTTTTGATAGGGTGCCGAGCAACTGCCTAGCGCCGATTGCCCCAGATTCCCTACCCAAAACCCCCGATTTATGCTCTATATACGCTAAATGACTGACTAACTAATTGGGCTAGGCGGGTATGTAATCTTACCTCTCTTGTGGTGTTGGGTGTGATGTTGAGGTACCACGGGTACATTGTATGTGTGGGATTGTGGGATTTTATCGCTAAGGTAAGGGTATGTGGTGATTCATGGTAGAGATGGTGGTTGGGGATTGTGGCGTAGTAGGTGGAAGGCAAACTTTGAGGTTTCTGGGATGGTTGGGAAGATTGTTTGGATCTCCGGGGATACTTAGAGGCCTAGGAGGTCTGAAATCCCGTGGATGGCGGAGCAGGGCTGATGGAGTTTTGAAATGTCAATGGACCTTGCGTTTTGGTGGGTAGGATCATTAATTCCGCAATGGGAGAAGAGATCTCATAGGGGTTGGGCCATATATCGCTTCTAGAGTCTATAGCAACAAAAGTTGTCACTTAAGTACTCAAAGGTTAACCATACGAAGACAGAATCTCAATAAGACCTTGGGTTACATAGGGCCTTTGGCATGGTCCCTCTCAAACGGCTTTCGAGAATATTTTGTGATCAAACACCCAAAGTAGATATAAGTGGATGTGATTACTGGGTGAAATTAAGGCTCAAATGCTTAGAAACCTAGTCTGGTTAGTCAAACGATTTTGTTCCACTTGAAGTGCACATTCTCTCGTTATTATATATGGAGGTACGAGTGCTCTAGAAGGTATATAGTGACTTGGTAATCAATTCCACAGTTACGGCGGAAGATCCATTAAATCTAGAGTATTTTTCTCCCTGTGAGAGATATAGAGGCTGTGTTTTGTATCAGAGTTTCCACGACGGTGTTCAAAGAAAGATACAGATAGTGAGAGTTCTTATTTCGCTATCACTAAGATGATGGTTTTCACAAAATGGAATTCTTCCGCATCGTGGTGGTCGTCACGTCTCTATGTCCGTGTCTCAAATTCCCCAGTAAACTCCCAATTTTCGCTGCTTCGCTAGCTACAAAGTCCTGGGCTGCCATCTCATCAACCCCTTTTTTTGTGACCAAATCTCAACTCCCCATGTTGTAATGTGATTCCCGGTAAAGAAAGAAACTGCATCCATTGATGGAATTGGTGCAAAGACGACGTGTGATGAAGACAAATTGTCAGAAGAACCAGGTGTGGCTTCCGCTACCAATCTACACGTGATAAACCTTAACGGTATCGCCGTCCCGCATGTTAACGTTGCCTGGGGTATGCAATGGGTTAAGATGCAAAGGACCGAAGTAAACACGAAATTGGTTGCGAGGCAAAGAGAAACGTCCAACAATAGTGTTAAAGAGTTTTTTAAATTCCCCGTAGTAGTCAATTCTGAGATCGAAGTTGTGTTGCGGGTTAGCGATGTACCAGACACTAATTGTTATAGCAAGAGGTGTAGATGCCCGTTCGTCTTCAGAGCCCTCATCAGACAATTCAGAGGAATTCTTGACGGACTCAATTTCTGAATCGTTGTCTGAATTATCAGTCTTCTCCTCGTAGTCGTCCGAGTCATCAAGAATAACCGCATGATCATCGTTCTCTGCATCCTCGTCTGGGGCTTCGAGATTAAGCGCATTGCCATTATCCTCAGGGTTTGGGCCAGCACCTTGCGCGTTCTCACGAGGTTGCTCAGTGGCACCAAGCGGTTTTGCACCAAAGAATCTGTGGTAAAGCGACTCCATGGTAATCAAGCGAACTCTGCGAGCTTCAGCTTCAGCAGCAGAGAATTCAGAAGGTCGGTAGTGAATGAAAAATGGGAGGGTAGCTTGAAGATCGAGATGGAATAGGGTGTCGAGGATCGCGGCCTGCCACATGAATATCATGAGTGGTGTAGGACTGAGTTTCTCAGCTTTGTCGTCATGGATGAATACCTTCAATGCGAGAAACCGACGAAGCTCTTCGACGGCTTGGGCTGGGGTGACGTTGAATGAGCCAGTGGTATTGATTGCTGTAGCGGCTTCGTTCATGGCGTCAGAGAAGCGAGGTCCATGGAGAAAGGCAATGGTTTGTGGCGAGTTTGGCATGAGATCGCGGAATGAAGCGTGGATACCGCCATGATCCTCAACTTCGGGGATGTGGTTGAGGGTGGGAGTTGAGGCGACGTCGGAACCGGATCTCTTGCGTTTGGTTGGCATCGTGGACGAAAGGTTGCGACTCCGACGAGATCGAAGACTGCTTGGATGTTTTGACGATGGTTCGAGAGAGGATGCGATGTGTGGAACTTCCTGCGGATGAGTGCCTTGAAAGTGAATTAGCAGCCAGGCCACCAAGTAGAGAGAGACAGCTCACCTCTGCCCGGAAGTATACCTTGACAATGAATTTGGAGGTTGCGGAATCAGAGAATTGAACGCAATATTGATGGGGGGAGGGGCGTCCAAAGCTCCTTGGGGATGCTCTTTTGGACTGCGTTGTTGCGTGTCGACAGGAGGAGGCGAGATCGTTGAAGTTGAAAGTGATAAGCAAGGCGAGGAATTGGTAGATTACGGATCCTTGCATGGACTTCCTGCGAACTCATGGGACAGCTTAAGCCATGCCAAGCTACCTGATTCTTTTCAGAGGTGAATTAGTGAGAAGAGAGTTCCTTCACCAAATACAGAGCTTTCGCGAGCTCATACCCAAGTCCTTATCACATGTTATCATGTTTTTCCTCTGATCACAAGAATCATTCCATTGATTGTGCAAAGCAGAGGAAAAATAGTAATAATGATTGCTGTTGGTTTCTTGAAGTCCTTGTCCTTGGGGAGCCAAAGCGGATTTATTTTAACGTGTCCCACAAGTTATAGCCAAAGGGTGTGAGAGCACTGGATTACGACAAAAAGGCTCATAGGAGGACATGGCTCAAATGTCCTTTCTTTTACCTAAAAGTTTATGAGGTTTAATAGCCAAGTATTTTCCACTCTTTCGCTCTCTACGGTACCCTCCTCTTGACTCGACGAACCGGCTGCGAAACCAAAAGGCCTTGTTTTATATGTATAGTAGATTGTGACTCTAGGCCGTTGGACATAAACAACAACCACAATAGCTCCACTATCTTTTGAGGCTTAGACTTTGGTATAGTAAGACGGCGAATTGAGTAATTCATTCTCAGTTATTCTCAGATCATTCGGTAACGTGAAAAGCCCATCCTGAAAACCATTAGTGGCTCTATGAAACTTCGAGTACAGCATAAAGCTGTGCTATACCTTCTTAAGAACATTTGCCCACAAGTGACACGCGACCGCTCTATTTAGCTCAATTATTAACTCGTAAGAGAGGCGGGCAATACTCTGTACACACCTAGGTTACAGAAGATTACCCTAACGACCTGACACAACTAAAACAACTATACGAATATTTTGGAATGATTGTTACTTTTCACTCCTTATTAACCTAGGTAAAATAGGACAATTTATTTACTTATACTAGACTTTTGGCATAATAAGTTTCGATGGCGTATACAGAGTAATACCCACCATTCTCAAATGATACACATACGATGAGGGAAAATTGAAATAGCAGACCTTAACTAAGCCTTAACACGAAGCTTTTGACATGGAGTAGCTTCCAGGAGTTTTACTGTAGGGGAGTGGGAGGGTTGGGATTTCGAAACTTTGGAAGGGAGGTTAAGAACCTGGCACATATCTATTGTAACGTAGCTACTGACCCTCTTTGTGTTGAGATAAGGAGAGGAAATGAGGGAGGAAAAGAAGAGTACGTAAACAGCTATGTGGGTTATCACTTGCTCAGCTCTTAGGTGATATTTAATTACCATTTGGATTGAAAGAACAACACTTAAGGTGTGTTACAAAGCCCGCAGTTTAGTAGAGGAAGTAGATAGTAGATTAAGATGGGATTTAGTATATTGAAGTTTCATTGATAATAGTCCTTTGTCTCGCTACGTATAGACTTCAGAACGCCACCATTTTGCTGATCTTGTATCCATATGCGACCCGCACTTGCCTTTGTATGATGGCCAGAAATCACTGCACAAATGGTTTCAGTAAAGCTGAACTTTACCTCACCGTATCGCTAGTGAGCTTAACATCATCGCAGTTTCTGGACAAGGTGGACAACACTACCATTCGTGATTCTGTGATCTTCTGCATAGTGCCCTTCTTGCAGTTGTTGGCCGTTACACACTGCTCGAAAGTCATCGAGTGTAACGCCAAGATTGCCCAGTTTCCAAATCTCAGTAACGACACAGCTTTCCGCAAGTATTTCGTGAGCTCTACGTTGCCCAAAATAGTCTACTACAACCAACCGAATTTTCCGTGCTGCTTGAATTTCAGATTGATCATACTTAACTTTCTTTGCTGGTGGTTGTCTGATTAGAAGCTTGTTAGCTTGATCACATCATGATAATAAGGTATAATTACTCAAGTATTGCTTCTTCTGGACTGGAAGAACGATAAGGATCCTTATCACGTTCTGCGAGCGGCATGTCTCCGAAATACTTCACATACATTGCTTCCATCGTTGCCAATCTGATCTCACTGCGTCTTTCTCTGCAACACTTGCTACTTCAGGCCGGTGGTGCAGTGTGCAGCCTAATGTGGTTTGCATTGAAGCGTAGGTCTTCGTGTCGAGGATGACTTCATGCCAGATAGCGTCCATGATTGGGCTTGGGCTCAGTAGTATACCATCGGTATCCTTCATGTAGACCTTCAGAGCAATAAGGCGACGAAACTCTTCAATGGCTTCTGCAGGTGTGACCTTGAAGAGGGATTCAGCTTGAGATCGTTCAGCAGCTTTTGCAAGGGCGAGTTCGAAGCTCGTGAGAAATTGGGTACCGCCTGGCGACTTTGCGAGAAGGGTTTTGTAGCCAGGATTCATTTTAGGAGCGGATTGAGAGTTACTGATCAGTTGGAGATCTGAGTCAGTCGTTTCTTTGGAGACCGATCTCTTGCGTTTCACTGCTTTGGACATGTTGGAGTGGGCACGTAGCCAAAATACCAAAGCGGGTAAATTTCTATATTTGAAATTAGCATGTGATGGGCCTGATTGACTTTGAAGGTCATACGAACTCCTGCGAAGCAGCTTTGAAGAGAAGACGGTGACTTGGAAATTGGAAATAACGGCGGGGAGAAGAAGGGAATGGAGGTTGACACGACAAGTCGCAACGAAACCCCAGATTGAGCGTCTAGAGACGGAACCCTAACCTGTGTAGGTACACCGTAAATTTCGGCCTGCGGATGGTGTTACGGTTTTTGTTGTTGAGGAGGAGATACGGTGGATGTGAAGGCGAATCTTTTAAAGTGTTTTTGGAGTGAAGAAGCGACGCTTGGCGTGATCCCTTCTCAGAATGAACCTAACAACCAGATCAGGCAGGTACGAGATTATTAATCAACCCTCTCTCTCTTAATAACGCATGGAAAAGTTTCAAGGGTTCGCTCATGAAAAGGAATGTCTAACTCCGTGCGTTGTTAGTGATCACTAGATCTGTTCAAGGCCTCGCTTGTCTCTCACAATAATTCTCTCACTGCATCTTCGACCAAACACTGTGGCAGTAGGCAATCTTTTTAAAATAATAAATGTTACGCGCAGAATGGTAAGATTTACACATAGCTTCGAAACGCTCTACTCGTAAGATGCTTGGATTGGGTAAGTGAACACTCAGCTGTTTACAGAGGAATTGATACGGTCACATGATTATAACGTGACCATAAGTTTCAAGCAGCCGAAATCATCGTTCTCCTGCAAAGAGACAATGATTTTTCGATACAGCTGCTGCGGTTCCTGGATACACGAAAGTCATGAGGTTTCTAATGTTCTTTATTCTGTGTATAAGTATACAGAAAGAGTTCGGCTTTTTTCGCTCTGAAGAAGTAGTAAAGTAGAAAGTGAAGAACCAAGAGATGAATAAGGCTTCGAAAGGCTAAAGTTTTGGGAATCAATCCTATGAATTATTAACAGTAGCGATAAAAATAAATACAAGAAAACACTGTTGGTGTGCTTCATGTCTGTGGTTCATGGCAAGCCAAGACCGAGAAAGTAAAATATCTCTAAATTGTCCATATCCCTGTCCTAACCATCGAATAAGCCATTCTGCACCACTCATGCCGGGACAAAAAGTGCCCATTCCCTAACGATGTTGGAGGTCTTGAGAACACTCTCGTTCTCGTCAGCTTCAAACTCTTGTTCTCCAAGCGCGCTACTGACGACAAAAGCGTTGGTGTCCCGACAAAGTTTTCCGGTCTGGACAGCTGAAAGATTCTGTGCTTTGAGAGCCTCATCTAGGGTGCTTTGTTAATGAGTGTTAGAGGATAATTCGGGATGGAGGGTGCGTAATTTTAGCGTCGAACACATAGTCGATTTGTTGACGTGTGATATTTGACGATCCCTCGGCCAAAGCGACCACATATGAAGAAGGATCAATAAGTTTGAAGCCCAAAGGTGCAGCACCTGGAGTCTTGTTCTCGGTCACAGTTAGAGTTCGTCCGTCGATATTCTGGTATTCAATCTCCATTGATCCGACTCCCTGGGTGGTATTAGTGTGAAAGGACAATGAAGTAACGGCATGGTACGAGGAAGGGCTATCACTTACTGCTGAGCCTACGAATGAGATTGCTTGAAGCTCATTGTTTCCCTTAAGTTGGAATGGCGTACCCATTACCCCATTGGCTCTAGTCTTCTTTTCCTCTTCCTCTTTCTTTTCGCCTTCCCCTCCCTCTTTTGGTTTGGCCTCGCCTCCTTCCTTGGGTTTGGCTTCGCCTCCCTCTTTTGGTACGCCGCCAGCAGGTATGTTTGCGGGGAGATTGGCGGGGGCTGGGGTAGGGTCAGAGGCGGGAGCTACAACTCGTTGTCAATTACATTCAAATACCATGGGTTTACCAAATACTTACGGACTGAAACGATGATTGTGGTCGGGACACCGTTCGAGTCGTGCAAGACAAGTCCAAGATTCAGACGACGTTCAAGCGAAGCAACATCGGCACTCTCAGCTTTGAAAGGAGATGGTGCACTTAAAGTGATGGTAAACTGCGCCGCAGCAAGAAGAAGAAGTGTAGTGCCGAACATGATTTCAGTCAAGGTAATTAACGCTATGGCAGTAGGAGATATGAAAATAAAACGGCCCGGCCGAAGAAGGATGATAGTACTAAAAGAGAGACTTTGAAAATAACGAAGCTTAGCAGTATTCGTAAGAAGAATCCTGGGGTGAGGAGTCTATATTAAATGAATTTGAGATTTTCAGAGCTACCCCTCGGATTCCGCGTGAAACGTTGCGCGAAGTGATGCCAACACATACGCCCCGAAGATCCTCATGCCTAACCGAGCCTTCTCTGGACTCTCAGGATTCTAAGAACACCAATTGTATATTTTGGACATGCGGTTTCACGTGGCGGTCATTCTACTGTGCTCGTATCTCCTGCACCGCCCGGTGTAACTCTTAACCAGGATTGAGCATCCTCGCGTAGAATAAATAGTTTTAACGCATAATTCCAGGTCAATTCTGACAGCTTGGCAATGCCAAGCTATCAATTGAACTGATTTTTGGTAAGGAGATATATAGTCACAGGACTAGAACGTAATTATATAGTATATTTCTAATAAGATTTCTATCTAATTAGTAAAATATGATTAACGTGGTTTATCAGCGAGTCGATCATATCAGCGAGTCGATCACTTTTCCTTGGCACTACCTCCTCAAACTTCAACACACGTTTTCTTCACCTATTTACCATGGAAATTCAAACTCAAGAAGCGCGAATTACTCTAGCTATCGAGGCTATTCGGTCGTCCAAAAAACTAAGCAAACGCTCTGCGGCAAAGATCTACAATGTACCATATACGACTCTTTCCGACAGAATGGCTGGCCGAACCTACCGCCCAGATTCTCAAGCCAATTGTCATAAGTTGACTGAGTTAGAAGAGGAAGTGATTATTCGGTATATACTGGATATGGATTCCAGAGGATTTGCGCCCCGGCTCGCTGGTGTAGAAGATATGGCTAATTTTATCCTTGAATCGCGGGGGGGAAGACGCGTCGGCAAGCTCTGGGCCCATCGATTCGTACAACGACAACCAGACCTTAAGACGCGTTTTAATCGCGTTTACGACTTCCAGAGGGCCTTATGCGAAGATCCTGACGTGCTAGGCGCATGGTTCCGGCTAGTAGAGAATATGAGGGCGAAATATGGGGTTACAGACTCCGACTTCTACAACTTCGACGAGACAGGCTTTATGATGGGTGTTATTTGTCCTAGAATGGTTGTTACTCGTGCAGACCGACGTGGTAGAGGCAAGGCAGTTCAGCCAGGCAATCGGGAATGGGCTACAGCAATTGCCTGTATTAATGGGGAGGGCTGGAGTATTCCTCCATTCTTGGTAGTTCAGGGCAAGAACCATCTCTCCAACTGGTATACCGACGGCGGCCTCCCACCTAACTGGGTTATTAAACCGACAAGCAATGGTTGGACAAATAATGAAACAGGCCTGGAATGGTTAAAGCACTTTGATAAACACACTACAGCTCGTGCAAAGGGTCTGTATCGAATACTAGTTTTGGATGGGCACGAGAGTCATGAATCGGCTGAGTTCCAAGACTACTGTACGAAACACAACATTATTACTCTTGGACTACCTCCTCATTCATCCCATCTAACCCAGCCACTTGATGTTGGGTGCTATAGTGTGTTAAAACGAGCGTATGGTCGGCAGATTGAGACGTTTATCAAGGCCCATATCAACCATATTACAAAGGTTGAGTTCTTTCTAGCCTTTACAGCAGCATACAAGGAAACAATGACAGTCCTAAACTGTCAGTCTGGATTCCGCGGAGCTGGCCTAGTACCATTTAACCCGCAAGCAGTGCTTTCAAAGCTTGACGTAAGGTTACGGACTCCAACTCCCCCTCGGACGTGTAGTGCCAACTCCCTCCCCTGGGTGTCCCAGACCCCTTCCAACCCAACTGAAGCCCTTTCACAATCAACTCTTGTACGAAATCGTATAGCCTGTCATCAAGGAAGCTCGCCAACTCCACTTTTTCAAACAGTTGCTGCGTTAGCAAAGGGTACAGAGCGAATGGCACATGAGATGACCCTTTTGTCTGCTGAGGTCCGTACCCTTCGCGCTGCAAATGAAGCCCTAAGTAAACGCCGTAGGGCTAAAAAGACTCGTGTCCGCCAAGGAGGGGCACTTATAGTAGAGGATGTACAGGATATGTTAGCTCAGGAGGATGTAGATGAGCAAGTACGACGCGACATGCGTGAGGCGGGGGTTGGTTATAAGGAGGGGCAACCTTCTAGGCGGCGCTGTAGAACTTGTGGAAAAGCTGGTCATAACGCGCGAACTTGTCAAGAAGTTATAGATATATCTAGTTCGTCAGATATAGAGAGCGATAATTAATTTAATATATTGTGGTTGATTTATTTAGGTGTAAAGTTCTGTGCCAAGAAAAAGTGATCGACTCGGTGATATGATCGACTCGCTGATAAACCACGTTATTTCTGTTTATATTATAAACAATCACATACTATAGCTTAATCAGGACTACGGAAAGAACTTAGCTTAAGCTGTTTTTATTAGAAGACGTCGTAACTCTTAGTACAAATCTATATGTTGTTTTTCTACCTAGGTTAGCACGTCCTTGACCCACTTTCGAGTTACGCCGGGCGGTGCAGGAGATAAGACCATCCTATGCACTTGGTGGTTGTGAGTTAAGACGATTGCCTACCTGCCTGTAGAGTGATTTTGCCGCGGGTTTCTTATAATATAAACAACGTTTGTTAGTGTGCATATAACTAAGTTTACAGCTTTTGTCGTTGTTTTGCACCCTTGATTTATAAACGATTTATTACAAAATAAGCTATAGGATTTGTATCATATCTTTAATATGACGAGAATTCAAATGCAAATCCATATACGAGGTGCCTAAATGTGTGGCACGGTTACCAAAAACACTTAAATCGATTATAATATGTGGGGTTTTACAGAATTGATTATTTTTATATATAACAACACTCGGTCCCCTCCTGTCTTCACAAATTATAATAGTGTTTCTGGCACGGATTTTGTCCACTTCTTGGAACGTGCTCTCGGACGTGTATAATTATAAAAATCCGTGGCAAAATCACTCTTGTCAACATACCCTACAAAATAACCAGGAGAGACATTATCTTTTCGTTCTTAGAAAGCTTGGAGTGAGTGAGATTGTCGAAAGTTGGAAGCTTGAACCGATCAGAAACAGGGGTAGCGATGTAGCACAGTGCGCTTCATCTGTCCGAGTAAGGAAACTTGGGGTTCTGGACGACGCATTGACACAGTTCACGGCCGGTATTCACAGGGGTCCCCAAGATCAGATGGATCTCATCTGTCGAATCAAATCCACAAGGCAGATTTTTTTTCGAGCTTCTCGAAGTCCCCACCGTTTCAACCTTCTACCGACATGTGATGAGTCTTGAATTTACTTTCGGCAATAAGAAACGGTCTCGCCAAAAATCCCATTTGTTGGGATCGATGAAGAAGACACCTTTTCTGATGTACTTCGGAACTTGTACTCAGCATCGAATACACCATAGCTCCACAGGTATTTTATTTGTGGAATTCGATTTTATTACTACCTGGATTCTTCTTGCACGCCTTTTCCTGGCATCGTGGTGATTTCTAACCATCCCATTGGACTGCCTTGGCTGGGTTTTTGTAGATGACACTGTAAATCACATCCCCATATCTTGACTCCCCTTAGAATGCTTGTTGCTAGGTACTAATTGAAAAAAAGTGGATACGCCGCGTCCCAGAGTGCTGTAAAAACAACGAAGTGGCCATACTAAAGTGCAATTACACCCCGCACTCAGAAGTGCTTAATGTCGAAATTTGTAGGTATCTCCAAGCGTATGGTGTAAATATATATTGTTTAGTTATTTAAACAATAATTCACGAAGTGCCCTTAACGCTAGTAAAGACGCGACACGACAACGAGGATGCGGCAGCGAGGAAGCGACAGTGAGGATATAGTAGGGAGGGCGACAGTGAGTGTAGATGGGAATAGTATCATGTGCTGACTTTATTAATGCCGTGAGCTAAGAACACGCGTTTTCTATTTGCACCTAAAACATGACTAAAGTAGAAACTGCCGGTCACCGAACGCGGCGACAGGGGTTCAAAAAGCATTTTAAGCAGATAAAAAAGTATCTCAAGGGGAGTCTTGCTAACCTTTCTCTTGATCTGCCTTGGCAGGGGTGTTTGTGATGATACTGAAGACCCATATCCCCATATCCCCATACCTTCAACAGACCATACTCCGTACCTCGGAGATGATTTCTTGTTTCCTTCTTCTCTTCTTCATCCTTTCAGTTGATCTGGGACCAAACATTCCATTCGAATCCTTCTTTTTCTTTTCTTTTCTTTTCTTTTCTTTCTTCGGGTCCGCTGGTTCAGACATTTTTTATAATTTTATGTTTTTCATACGATTCCGGTAATTTCGAATGTCTTGGGGGTTTCGAAAGAAAATTCTCTTACTCAATATGGCTGAAATATCTCTTGAATTGCAATTGAGAACTTCCAGCCCCCCCGCGCCCGAGCCTACTCTTCGAGCTCGTCATCGTCGGTTTTTTGAAAGCAAGAGAAGAGAAAACCGAAGCATCGAAGAAAGAGGCCATCATAAACACAAATTGAACAAGAACGGGACTTTCGACACAAGTGATAGTAGTGATGATGGGGGCGCCTCTAAAGCGCGTGTTCCTCGTCCGCTTCCCCCAGGCGCAACGCCAACATTAGCAGCAACAACCTCTTCACCTGTAGGTACCTTGTAATTCTGAATATTCTGTCATTTTCTTGCTATCAATAGGCTCGCTTGGCTCCTCCGAAGCCCCCACAATCGTGGGTAACTTCAACCTTAGCATCTATACCAACAACTTCGTTGCCAATACCTACGGTAGGTTTTGGCAATACTACTCGTTGACAGGAGAAACTAATTCCACCCCAAAGCGTCCTCCTATTACCAATGAAACTCCTGCAGCCCGGCTAGCTGACCAAAAAGCCGCTCCAACTGTACCACCTCCGCAAGTATCAAAGACTCCAGTGGCCGCCCCTCAACCAACACCCTTTCCAACATCATCAGATACCCCAAATGTCTCCGGAATCCCCACAAATATCGGGGGGCTTGGGGGTCCAGGTATAAATGGGTTTACACGCCACGCGTCATCAGGTTCTACGATATCAGGCGGTATGGTTACGGGAATAGTTTCAGGGGTTGTTGGTATGTAATTCTCCCCTATCAAATCATTCAATATTAACAAACTACAGGACTCATCATTGCTGCTGTACTTGCTATTATTTTCATAAGAAAACGTCGTCTTCGTCACCTAAGCTACCCACGTGGTGCTCTACCACCCATGAGTCAAGCGAGTAGTGGGAAACCGCCTTCGGTTATTACCAGAGCTAGGCAACGCGCTGAAAGTATACTGTGGGGGAGTCAAGCAACTGTTGGTGTATGATCTCTCTCTCCTTCTCTCCTTCTCTCCTTCTCATCAAATTTCGTTTTCAAAAATGCTGACAATTCCTTCTAGACCCGAACAGAGGCTATTTCCCAGCGTCAACCATTCCAGCGTCCATGAAACCAGGTGGAAAACACAACAAAGACGGACTTAACCTGCTCACCCCTCCACTCAGGTATCCAGATCCAACCCGGAATCCAACACCAAATCTCCATCGACATTCAGGATCCACCGAGTGGGATAGGTTCACTAGAACAACTAGTCTTCGGTCGCCAGGTCCCCCCATACAATCGATTTCTGGTATGACGCCGCCTTTTAGAAATGTTGATTCTTGAGTTGCAAGGGGAAATGGTGGTGGGGAACTGGAACCAAGGGGTCCTTACGCCAGGTTGAATTGAGTTGTTATAATAGAGCATGGAGCAATCTAGTTGTGGAGTACGTTCATTACATTCCCTTTTGAGGTGCTAGGGGTAATAATACCAACAATTGTTTAAATCAAAGTACATTCACTATTGTTGCGCCAAGCTACACCTTAATTTAGCCACCTACGTTCACTCGACACTATCAAAAACTGCTGATAAAATTCACTTTTGTCATAAAGAATATAGAAACATTCACGCATTGCTATTACCCCACGTTTTAGATTAACTGGACCTTGCTGGTGGAAAGAGCATCTTTCACTCGTAGAGAGTAGCGTCGGAACATCTTGATGACTTGATGCAATCGTTTACCTGGTGGAGACTTTGATTTGAAAACCAATGTTGGCCTCGAATCTCAATATCTCTCTTTGGTCCTTCGAAACCTTCCGTATGTTGTGAATTCTAAGAGTATGCATGTCACTTATCAACGGTGTTTTCGCAACACAGATTGCTGAGCGTGACTTGAAGTGGAAAAGGGCCAATAGTCATGACATGGGGAACAAGAGTGATCGAATTGCACGCTGCTTTACCCATATATACCAAGACTATCGAGCAGAGTCGATGATTGGTCTGACCTGCAGCTAATCCTCACCTTCAAGCGTAGTGAAGCCCAAGAATCTTCTTTCAATCTCGATCTCAACTCTTCCCCTTCAACTATTCCACTCCAACTCTTTCACTTCAACCCTTCCAATTCAACTCTTCCACTTCAATCCTTCCGTCTCACCAATTCCGGCGCCCAGGAGTGCTAGACGACAAATCTCTTCAAAATGACACCCGGAGTTTTGTCGTTGATGATCAAGCTACTGATACGACCAAAAAAAAGGAACTTGACGAAGTGAAGCAACAAATCGAGGAAACAGAATTCAAGCTCACCCAACTAAGCCTCCTCGGGGCCAAGGAGTCCAGGCAAAAGATTTTGGAGCAAGAAGTAAACTCTGTAAGTTAGACATTATGAGTATTGGAGCACCTTTACTGATTAGAACTCGTTTTCTTGGATTCAAGCGTAACTCAAGTGTGCTTTGGAGAAACTTCAACGTTCTCCGCAAGCCCGTGATATCATCAATGGCAAGATCGAGTTTGAGTCGCCAGCTTTGTCCAGAGAAGACGTGGAAGCTATAGAGGCTGAAGTTCAATGTGAGAAGCTTCGCCTTTTCAAAAAGTTGAAGGTGAGTCTCGTCGATCTATCTTTCCGCCTGCGCCCAATATCATCAAGTAATCAAAACTAACCGTCAGAAGGAACTTCAAGCAGAGAAGGAGGTCATCTTGGCCACATACTTCTGCCATGAACCGCGATTTGAATTTCCGACATCAGAGGATAGTGGCAGCCCCGCTCATGTTCCGTCTGTTTCTGATATTGCTACCCGTTCACAAACCTCGTATCTTGGTCTCCTTTTCGGGTATTTCGGACGCACCATATCAAAGAGTGAAAATCTAAGCATTGAAGAAAAACAGCGTCTCGAAAACGAAATCAACACCCTTAGAGCCAGCCTCACTACCCTTCAGCAGATCCCCAAAGTTCTTATGTGCCTTCTGTGCAACGATTCTGAAGCTAGTTTCAAGGTCACGGAGTTCTTCAAGCAAATAAAGGACACTTGTGGAGAGAATCACGAGACGCATCTCGACTTCTTGACACTTGTCGCAGGTCTTGTTGTTATGCTAACTGAATTGAGCGAGCTTGAAAGAGCCAGTCAGAATCGAGAAGCTATGCTCACTGAAGCCAATAAGAAGATTGATTTTCTTGGGAGAAGAATCAAATTGATGGCCCCTTTGTTCGACGTTGGCAAGGCAGTTCGTCTAGGCCACCTTGAAACAGTCAAGCGAATTCGTTACGACGGCCAATTCATTAAGCTTAGAGGGACTCCGAATAGGCAAATTATCGACGAACGGAACGCAGTGGCTCATAACGGAAATCCTATGGCTGACTTCTCGTTAATGACGTTCTGCAAGCTAGCGCTGACCGAACTGGATCTGTTACGAGATATGTATAGAATGCCAATACTCGTAAGTAGAACTTTCTGCGAATCTTTGCTAAACTTCATTCCATGCGATAATTGGAAGGAAACGGCTGCTACACACGGCACCATGTTTTCTTGTTATGCCGAAACAAGTTTCACTCATAGCAAGACAGAAGAGGTGAAATTCAAGGGATTGCACAAGGAACTCTTGGACCTTTTTTCCAAATACTGCAAGGAAAGCTGTCCAGAAGACGCACCCATCGACGCATCGAAACCAGCACCAACGGGCGCAGTTCTGAAGAATACACTCAAGAAAGTCGAGGAGGATCCTGTAGTTAAGAAGAATCTGGAAGAAATGAGAAAGATAGCCGACAATTTCAGCAAGCTAGAGAGGAGGAGACTTCGTGCCAATGACGACTTCTGAGCATGGAGAAAAGATAACAGTACGGGAAATCTCGCTTAGGTCAACAATTAAGCATAGACCAGTATTTTACACATCTCGCGTGACTTGACTTCATTTACGATTGAAACCTTTCTGACAAATTTCAACCTCGATCGAGCGGTCTTCCTATAAACGATCACTTGACCAAAAGCTTTATGAAAAGAATTCCAAATTGCAAAAGTCTCCAAAGACCATGTAATACTTCAGATTTCATATTCTTTGGCAGTACAGTATTTTGAATATTTGCGTTGGAAATCGTGAGTAGCCATGACAAGCCGTACCCGTATATCAAAATTCGCTTATTCGTTTATATCAGAAGTTGCAGAGAGCTTCCAGCATCAAACCAACTGTTCCGCATCAATAATTTGGTATTCCAGTAGTTAGGCTCTAAATTATGGAAAATCGAGTCTTGGACATTGATATAGGGATACCTTAGTCTATTGCGACTACTCCACTGCATAGAAAAGAGGGTGCAAGTCTCGTAGTACTTAGTACCTACACACCACCTTCGTGTTCCTTGTATTCACTCACATTCGGATTTATCCTCTATTTAACAATGAAAGTGTACGGAGGATTATTAATGGAATTATCTCCAAATTTGTAAAGTCCGAAACATCGGCTAATCCAGCGCCTGCTTGTTCAGTTCATGTGAAACTTTTTCAATGGAGGTACTGGTGAATAAAACATGCGGAGTGAATAAAAATCCATTAATTGTGGGGTACAAGTCCAATAAGAACATTTCTGGGGAAGAAGTGGGGTTGTCTTCCGAGTTCAAAGGTACACCCTCAACGACGCTATTCTAACTTCTTGTCAACCTACGACAGATATAATACTCTCGTCTCGATATAGATTTTTCCCTCGTTCCTCGGATCCTTAAAAGAGACTCTAGAATCCTTTGTACGGGCTAGAACTTTAAACCTTGATATATAACTATATTAGGCAAGGCGTGGGATATATAACTATATTAGGAAAGAAAAGGTAGGTCGTAGTAAGTTAGTAGGAACACTAAAACTTAAAAACTCGTCGGTATAGAGCGTACGGCTCTTTAAGCCTACGTAGTAGTACTTCTACCTGTCGGAAAGACGTATAAATAAGACGTATTTATAGGGATAATTAAGTACTATTATATTCTCGAAGTATATGTCGTTCCGATATATACGTATAGGTAAGGTGTCACGAATCACGTGTTCACGTGATACTTGTCATAATAAGAGGCGCAACCCTCGAAAGGCACATCCAGGTTTCTTATAGCAAATAGGGATCGTTTGGAGTAGCTAAGCGATCCAGGGATTTCTCTGTATTGTTATCACGTGATATTAGGAGTTCGCCAGTTAGCCGGGCGAACAGGCGAAGTTAGCCAGTTCGATTGTCGAACGAGCGAACATCGAGAGAACGAAGGTTCTATATAAGACTGGCACGTCTGCCATTAGATAGGAGCTTCGTGCTCAAC